GCCTCGGGCGGGCAGCCTGGATGAGATAACCTGACGCCTTTTCTTTTTCTTTTTTTTTTTTTTTTTTTAAACAAAAGTTTTTGTAATCAACTTGAAGAGTAGCTGGAGCAGGTGAGCAGCAGGGTACCTTGTATAATGCTGGACAGCGGCCGTGTAGACAGTGGCAGGCAGTGTGGGCAGGAGCGGGAAGTGAACTGGGGGTGCTCCCGTCTGCACGGGGCAGACTGGCTGGAGCGTAGCTGTGCAGGGCCGCTGGCGGCGCCTGACCCGCGTCGTCGGGAGGCCGCCCTGGGTGACTTGGTGCTGGCGAGCGTCTTAACCAGCCACATTGGCTCAGACCATGGCTGCGGTCGGCCGCTGTCCTGCGAGAATCAGTGCCTATTTTTCCTGGAGACTCAGTTTTCAACAGTCCGGCTCCGTCTGGAGTCACACTGTCTTCAGCGCTTTCGTTCTGCAGCGTCGTCTCCTACGACACCAGTGGGTCGGAGGAGCCGTGTTTTTGATTTTCAGTTTTTCTGAAGGGGTTGCCTCCTTGGATGGCTGGTTTCCTTTTTCTCGGGGGAGAAGGGAGAAATGTACTTGGGAAGTAATGTATGTTTACATCGATTTGCAAATTCCTGTACATAGAGATATATTTTTTAAGTGTGAATGTAACAACATACTGTGAATTCCATCTTGGTTACAAACGAGACTCCTTCAGTCAGTTATCCAAATAAACCCAATTCTGAAACTGCCCCATGTGTGTTATGGGAGGGGGGCCAGGCCTCGGCAGTCCCTGGGTTTCAAAACCCCAAAGCAGATCCTCAGCCCCTGGACTCACAGCCCCCAGCCCCCACCCATCTCCCAGGGCACCTCCAGGGTGATTGGTGGCCACTCCCACGTGCCCGGGGACTAGCCTGGCAGCCCCAGACGGAGTGTCCACACCGAAGGGAAACGTTCACGTGTACCCACGTAGACCACAGGCGCCTAGGGTAGGAAGGGCTTGGACTGGAGTTGCTTTTCACAGTGGCCTGTGAGCACATGGAAGCAGCCTGCTCGGGCCACCCTGAGCCCCCCGCCCCGCCACCCACAAGTGAACGAGTCGAGCACCGGCAGAGGCTTGCAAAGGCCTTTATTTATCTAGCTCAAAGTAGACACTATCACAATCTTATCTGGTACTCCTTTTACTAAAATAGTTCAAATCAGTGTTTTTACCACACTATCAAAAAGCTCTGTTTTTCTCTCCCCAAATCAGTGGTTCAGTTGAAGGTAGAAACTGGGCACCAGACTCTGCGGGCTTCCGGCTCTCACAGAGCCTAGGGCAGGGGCTTCCGGCTCTCACAGAGCCTGGGGTGGGCGCTCCGGCCCTCACCTCCGTCACAGGCCACAGAAGACAGAGCAGCTGCCGGGCCCGGGGCCGAGGCCAGACTCCCACCACTTCCAGAAAGCAGCACAAATACTCTCCCCACATATGAAAAATATACAATCTACGCTCTGCGCTCATGCATTTAGTTCCTTAAAAAAAAAAAAATCAGTAGTATTGTTTCCTCAAGTTTCAAGGAAAAAAAAATGAAAGGTCACTTTTTTCTCTTTGAATACCAATGTGTAGCTAAAACTTTTGGGTAAAAATGTGCCACCCTAAAAATGTGCTCCCCGGATTCGGATTCCAGGGTGGGCGTGGCCACCTGGGGGCGCGGCTGGGAGGGTGACATCATCACAGTGGGAACTGAAGCCAAAAAGAGTAGCTGTCACCTTGGGCCTCAGGATCTGGACCCAGAACGTGTGAAAGGGTGCTGAGCTCAGCACCATCCCCACCCCACCCAAGCTGGTAGAGCTGAGGGTCCAGCAGTGTCCCCTGAGGCACTGCCCCTCTTTAGTGGCAGAGCTGGGACTCACCCAAGCTGTGGCCTCCTGGCCCACCCTTACCTGACCCTCCCCAGGGGTGGGCTGTCTCTGCAGCTGCCGACCGTCGGGGTCCATGGGGCCAGGCAGAGTCACTGTTGGCTTTTTTCAACAGCTGATTAAGTTTGAGATGTGACTGTCACAGTCTGTCCTAGAAGGCCACCCCAATGCATTAGCTCGGGTGGCAGTGGCAGGGGCAAGGGACAGGCCTGCCCCCTCCTCTCGGGCTGTGCTGCAGACAGGCAGGAGGGTCTCAGAAACGCTCGCCTGGCCCCGGGTGCTGCTATAGCACTAGGGAGAGTCATCTCTCTCCTGAGGGGACTGTCCTCTGGAGGCCTCTGCTGACAGGGTCACTGCAGGTCCCAGGAGCCCTTACTTATTGCTATTGTCAGTGGCAGCCAAGCCAACCTGTTCCCAACATGATTCCCATGGGCTCCCAGACCTGGCTCCCACCCAGAATGCACCCACATCCCTCGGGGACTGCTGTCTGCTTCTTTGGATTCCAAGACCCAGGAGAGGCCTCTGCGCCCCCAGCCCAGCGGCCTGCTTGAGCAGGAATCTTCCAGAACCGTGACCAGTGGGTGTGCCCCCAGCCTCAAGCGCACACCCTTCCAGAAAGCACCCACAGAGCTTCCTGGCGCCCCCCCACGCTGGAGCAGCATGCCCTGTGCCCTCACCAGGACCCACTTAGCACCCCAGCCTGGGCACAATGAGGGCACCAGCCTTTCCCCTGAGGATACGGCCCACAGGCATGGAAGGGCCCCAGCTGGGCAGGGAGACAGGGACGCTGCCTCCCCTGGCCCTGGCCCCTCCTTAACATGGGCAGGAGATGCGAACCCGCCTCTAGGGCTCCTCACATCCTTGCTCTGTGTGAGACCAGGGACCATGGGACAAACGAGGCGGCGGATGGAGAACTGAGCACAAGCGCAGTGAGTGGATCCCGGGGTGCCGGCCGGACACGCTAACAACAGCGGGAGGGGCTTGTGTTCGCCGGGGGTTTGGTTTCTAACCTGCCACAAAATCACGTACCCCCCTCTGGGCCTCGCTTTCCTCACACGCAAATAATAAAATATTACATGTAGCACTTTACAGTTTATACACGGTCATTTACACTGAAAGTCTTGTTGGACACCCAGGGCCTGCAAGGAGGGGTTCCAGCCACCCATTTTACAGCCAAGGACACTGAGGCTTAGGGGAGGTGGGCGCCTGCCGCCACGAGACAGCCGGACGGCAGAGGAGTCACACTTGGCCTGGGCCTCTCCGGCAGACCGACCCCACCGGCTCACGCCCATGAGCGAGGACACAGGCCAGGCAGAGCTGAATGGCCACCCAGACCACGGACCGTGGAAGAGCTGCAGGGGGCCTCTGAGCCCTCACGTTTCCACGGGAGCCCAGAGAGGCTAAATGACCTACTGAAGATCACACAGCAAGTTAAAGCCGAGCCAAGTCGGCTCCTTCCTTCGAAGAGGGCCAGGGCTGTGGTCCACAGTGACCCAGGGAGCAGCTGCCTGGCGGAGCCTGGCTCAGTGCCCCAGCCCAGAGAGCGCACGGGTCGGCACAAACTCCTCCCAGCACCTTCCTGCGCCCAGGCCTCTGAACCACAGCAGAGGTGGTGTCTGGGCTGGGCTGGGCAGGGGGATGAGGGCATAGCCTGCACGGGGAGGGGCAATGCGGAGGGTGGGGCGGGGCTGAGGGCCAGAGGAAGGGCCTCCAGCACACGGGTCCACAGCAGGTGGGCAGGAAGTGGGGCCACCTGTGTCAGAATCCTGGCGGCCTCTGTTCTGGCGTTTTGACAGCAGGGCTAGCACACAGAAGCCTGGCATCTCGGTGCTGGCGGTAGGGCCCGGGCCGAGAGGACGTGAGCATGTCCAGGCGGCTCGGCTGCAGAAGCCCCGCGTGTTTTGTCCAGTTCACTGGCGGGTAAGGCGGGAGATGGAGGCAGCCGGGCGGCATGGGCTGCGTCCTATGTACAGTTCACCAGAGGGAGAACACAGCGCTAGGCCACGGCCCCGCACGCGCTGGGCCTGTGTATCCGCCGAGGCCAGCCAGTCCACGTCTGCGGAGGGCCACCTACAAAGGCCCCTTGAACTGGTTCCCAGACAGGTGCTGCCGGATGGAGGGCTTGGCGCTGGCGGCGTCCCCCAGTTTTCTCCAGACCACCTGTGGGAGCGGGAGAAGTGAGTTCAGCCCACCCGGTCAGGGCTCTGTAAAAGCACCAGGTCCCAGCCACGGCGCCGGAGGGGAAACCGAGGCCGCATGAGGCCGCAGCACACCCCCATGCAAGCCCACAGTCACCCCTGTGAAACACCCTTCCCCCGCTGGCTCCTGCAAGAGTCCAGAGAGGGAAATGCCGCCCAGGTGGGTTGGGGATGAGAGGCTCTCTGGGAACCCAGAGGACCCCCTGGCCCTGCCAGCACCTCGCCAACACGCTGGGAGGCCCAGGGGGACACCAAGGACCGGCCAAGGGGCTGGGCATTTGAACAAGAGCAGTCCTGGGGGAGTGGCCCCGGGCTCCGTCCAGAGCCCCAGGCCCAGCTCTCCCGGTGTGGGGAGGGGCTGCTGGGCAGAGGAGCGCAGTCCCCAGAGGCGCGGGGTGCCACCCCGGGACAGGCCCGCCCCGTGCCCCGCCTGCCGGAAGCGCCCCCTCACGTTGCACATCTCGCGGACGACGGCCTTCTCCTTCTCACTCAGGCCTTCCTCACGGCTGTCCTGGAGCTGCCGGTCCAGGTTCTCGTGCACCTCCAGGACCTGCAGGCACCACGGCGCGTCACCTGACGCCCTGCCCTCCGCCTCCCCGTAACCCGGGGGACAGGCGCGGAGGACGAGGGGCAGGCGTCCTGAGTCTGCTCCCCCTCCCTCACCGCGGCAGCGCTTTGGACCCAGACACGGAAGGTCTCCAGTACCGGCGGGGCCACACACTGAGGATGGGCCTCCGGGAGAGGGGCGGGCAGGTTGGGAGGGACATCTTCGCACTGGGGCTCACGCGACCCAGGGCCCCGGGTGACGGGCACCCGCACTCCATGAAGATGACCCGTGCTCGTGCACGTGACAGTGGGTGTGTCCCAGGACACGCGTGTACTGTCTGTGCAGACGGACACAGGGACTTCCACACGGGGGGTGGGGTAGTGCATCTGTGTCCACTCGACAAGGGGGGGTGAGGTGCAGGCCGGGGTCCTGCCCCACTGCACCTGGGAGCCCGAGGCTTGGCCTGGGGACCTAACTCCAGCCCCATCTGCCCCTCTCTGGCCTTGGGGGTGCCTGCCCCACCCCAGGCCTCAGTTTCCCCAACTGCAGCGCCTCTGCTGCCACCACCTGGAGCCTCCGAATCCCTCCCCCACAGTGCTCCAGGTGGCCATGGCCACTCAGTCACCCCGACAGAAGAGCGCCCACCCCTGCCCGCCGGACGCCCCAGGCCCAGAGAGGGCAAATGCGGGGCTGGAGGCTCCACACCCCCGCGGCAAGGCAGGGTGGGGGGCGCAGGGCCTGGCCTTACCTTCATGGCGTGCACCACGGCCTCGGGCTTCTGTCCTGCGGAGCTGTAGCCGGCCGGGGGCGGGGAGGGCAGCTCGGGGCAGGCCGGGCCCTGTGGGGGGTGAGGCCCACATGTGTGACCAGCGCTTCAGAGAACGCCCTGAATGTGTGGGCCAGGGCCCAGGAGGGGAGATGGGGCTGGAGCAGGGGACGGAGGGAGGGGAGCAGGGGGTGGGGAGGAGGGCAGGGGGCGGGGCCGAGAGCCAGGAGGAGCCCTGAGGAGCCCTGAGGAACCCCCAGCCTGTGCGGGTGACCCCATCTACTCCCCCGTCCACCCAGCTCTCCCCAGATAACATGGTTCCGTGGGAAGAGGGGCAGTCCAGCCCACGCGTGGTCCCGCAGGCAGGCACCACTACAGGAGCCCCAGGAAGGCTGGTGTCAGATTGGCAGCGGGAGGGAATGCAGCTCAGAGAGGGCAAGAGACTTGCCCAGTCACACAGCAAGACTCAGGAGGTCTGGGTTCAAACCCATGTCAGCCTGTCTCCAAAGCCCTGCCCCCTTCCCACCCCACCACCCAGGGGTGAGGCCACTCCCTGGGGTCTGGGAGCCTCTTCCGCCATCAGCTTCCACTCAGGCCCAGGGGCGGGGGGGGCGCCAGGCCAGGTGAGGAGGGGGCCCAGCTGGCCTCCATCAGAGACTGGGCATCTGCCCCAGCCCCACCCGGCCCCCCACCCACAAGGACCCCGACCCAGGTGGTGCGGGGCAGGGGGCTTCTGCCTGGAGGGCAGTAGGGCCCGGCCCCAGAGCAAGGCTCGGGCTCAGGACACGGTGCCCACAGGGGCCAGCAGAAGCCAGGAAGGCCGCAAGGCGCCAGCGTGGCCTGAGGGCCCAGCAGGTGCCGACTGAGGGAGAGGGAGATGGCGGCTGTGGGGCAGCCGTGCGGCACCCACCCTGGTGACCCTGGACAAGACCTTCAGCTTCCTTTTTCAGTAAGTGGGGCCCCACACCACCCCCAGGAACGGGGCCCACTCCATAAGCTCGTGGGATGGGGCCAGGCCCGGACCTCCGCCCACCAAGGCCACACACCACAGGGACATCGGGTACCCTCATGACCGGAACCTCTGCCAGTCGGGCAGTCCACCCTGCTCCACCCTGGGGCCCAGAAGGCAGGGCTGGGGCAGAGTGGCCATGACTTTGGGTGGGGCCAGACCCACCCTGAGCCCCGGATTCCTCATCTGGACACCAGAAAGGGCCCCTGTCCGCCAAGGGTTTGCAGGCACACTGCATAGTGGTTATTTCACTAACGCCGACCTCCAGCCCGGGCTGCCCGCTCTCTGGTGCCCAGTCCAGCTCCATCATGTTCGGAAATCAAGCAGGGATTTTTAGGGAGTTTAGAGGGGCAGGGGCAGAAAGCAGGGCCAGCAACCTGAGGTTGAAGGCTGGACTTCCCCCAACGGCCAGCAGGGGGCGCTAGCCACACAAGTATGCCAAGGCATGAAGGGCCACCTTCCCGCTGGAACCTTCCGGGAAGCCCATACCCTGTCCTAGAGGAAGACCCCGTGTCTCTGGCCTCAGCGTCCCCATCTGTACCAGGAGCTCCCTGAACATGGGGCTGTGATTCCTGAAGGAACCCAGGCGCCACCTCAGCCCTTTCCCAGCCTCCTTGGGCTGAGGGTGGCACCGCTGAGGACGTGGCTATGGGGTCATACAGGGGCCACTGTGAGGACCATGCCCTCTGGGGCCTCCCAGGCACACAGCACCCCTGAGGCCCCGAGGCCGCACGGGCACTCCCATTCTCCTGCCCACGGGTCCTCACAATCACTCTCCAGCCAGCCACGTTTTACAAATGAGGAGAAAGAAGCTGAGAGAGTAATTCATCCAAGGCCAAACAGTTGTGAACAGTGGGGCTGGGACTCCAACCTAGGTCTGTGGGCCTCCAGAGCTGGGGCCGAAATGGGGGAGACCAGTACATGCCCGAGAGAACTGAGGACGTATGTCCACCAGAAACTCAGACACAAAGGTTCACAGCCGCAGCATTCGTGATAGCCCGAAAGTGCAGACAGCCCAGATGTCCACCCACGGATGAATAGACACAATGTGGTCTCTCCATGCAATGAAATATTACTCAGCCAGAAAAAGAAACGAAGGGCTGACAACATGCCCCCAACGCAAGGGAACCTTGAACACACTGTACTGAGTGGAAAAGCCAGACACGAGAGACCACATACTACAGGAGTCCGTTTATCTGAAATGTCCACAGCGGGCAAAGCCACGGAGACAGAAAGCAGGTCAGTGGTTGTCAGGGCCTGGGGGTGCGGGGACGGGGGCGACTGCTGACAGGTATAAACCAACAAACAAAGAACTCGATTCTGACGCACACGACCCTGCAGGACAGAGCAGAACCGCCCCACAGGGTTCCCAAGGAGCGGCTGGTGGATCTGCACCGCCGACCTTTGGTTAGCAGCCGAGCTCCTAACCACCGCGCCACCAGGGCTCCATTAACAGGTATGAGTTTTGTTTTTTTTTTTAGGGAGGGGTGATGAAAATGTTCTCAAATTGGATTGCTGTGATGGTTGTTTAACTGTGAATACCTAAAACCACTGAACTGTACATTGTTTTTTAAAAAAGCCAATTGACTACAAAAAGTGGGGAGACCAGCTCCCCCCAGAGGCCTTGAGCCCCCTTCTCAGGAGGCTGAGAGGATACACTGCCTCATATTCTAAGAGCCAGCCGGGCACAGGCTCCCCACTATAGTCACCTGTTTCACCTCTGGACCCTCTTTCCTGGGCCTCTTTGCCCTCAGAGTCCCCGATGACCTGTGCCCCAGACAACACCAGTGCAGAGAGGGCCCACCCACGCAGCCCCTCTGTCTCCCCACGGGCTAATGGGCTGGGCTTGGGCTAGGCAGGCCACAGAAGGACTTGGTGTCCTGGGAACATGCCAAAAGGCCTGGACTGTGAGCCCCAGCCCCTCAACTGCCGCCTCTGCAGCCTCACTTGGTGGCGGGCCCTCCCGAAATGCCCCAAGTCCTCTCCACCCACCCACAGGGACCCTGCACACTATCCTCCCCCCAGCCACACTGCCCACCAGTCCCTCTGCTCACCCCTACCCACTCCCTAGCCCTTGTGGAGCAGAGACTCCTCCATAGCCTCTGACCTCCAAGCCACACCAGCCAGGTGCCAGTTCTTACCACCATGGGACCCTGCAAGCGTGGGACCCTGCAAGCGTGCGACCCTACCCCGTGAGCCTCACCACTTCAAAATGGGCTGAAAGCCCCTCATGTGCTGAGCACTCGGGAGGACAAACAGGTGGGGCCTGTGAAGCCCCTTTGAGGCCTCCTCCAGAAAAATCTTCCAAAACCTTCCGGAACCCTCTGGAACCATCCATCACTGACAGTGTTTTCTCAGCACCGTTGAGGCCTCTCAGCCTCGGGCCTGGTGCATTCTCTCTGGGAGAGGCCTGGGGGAGCCCCAAGTTGGCTCCCTCTTCACACACTCGGTAGGCCTGGAACAGCAGACACCAGAACTTTAGTCTACAGATCACTCAGGGGGTCTCAGAGCACAGCACTCAGTAAACGTCCACTGGATTATCACTTTTATTATCATTCCCCTGGACGATTCAGAAGGAAACAAGGACAGAGATCGACCGGCCAGCGGAACCCACTCCTGGCTTCCTGGGGCTTGGCACCATGAAACAGGGAGCACCCCGGGGCCTTGGCGCCTGGTAAATATTTGTCTGCCCTCGCGAGGCTGCTGCCCATGTGGCATCTGCAGCTGAAGTCCTGGAGAAGGCGGAAAGGCCTCAAGACACAGCCGGACCCCGGGCCAGCTGCCAGCCTCGGCCCCTGCCCTCCTCCACCAGGACTGAGGCCCGGGAGGGGCAGGGGGCAGGAAGGGGTGCAGCAGCCACAGCACACACCACCCGAGAAGCACTCCCAACCAAGAACTCTGCAGACCACCCTCAGGGCACAACCAGCACCCACCGAGTGTCCACTACACACGGGCCAGGCTCTCACACCACCGAGTGTCTGCTACACGTGGGCTGAGCTCCTCGCACTCACACCAGCCTCACGACCACCCAGAGGCAGGGCCTCCTTGTCCCCACGAAGCAGACCAGCGGCCAGGCTGGGCAGGTGGCTGCAGGTAGGCCTGGCCCTCACACCTGCTCCTCTCCCTCTCTGCCAGGACTCAGCGATACAGAGACGTGTTTACCGTGGGGAGTCCTCTCCCCTGGAGCCGGCTCCTGCCCCTCCCTTCCCATTCAGGAGGGCAGGCCCGAGCCCAGGCAGGAATGACCTAGGGGCCTGGAGTTGATGCTTTAGGTGCTCGATTCACATGTGTTAGCCTGCACCCTCCGTTACAAAGCCTGGGGCAACCCCCCAACACATATGTACCACAATACACACTCCAAGCTCCAAGGCTGGTGGCCGGCCTCCCCGGCCTGTGCTGTAGGAGGCACATGGGCCGGGCCTGGGCCGTCTGCTGCCCTGGCCTCCAGGACACTGGACCATGCTTCTGGCAAGGTCTCCCTGAGCTGGGCCTCAACCTCCGACTGCCACGCTGGGCCCATACAAGGGTTCGAGGGTTGGGGGCCCAAGGCCCTTCCCGGGAGGGTGAGGGCAGAAGGCAGGTGCTGGCCAGTGGTCTCAGGACAGAGGGGCCCATAGCTGCCCTGGTCTGAACTGGAAACGGCACAGCCCTGACCACCACGTGGCCCCGGGAGGGTCAGTGGCCTGCCTGAGCCTGCCAGCTCTGATCTCAAAGATGGAGGGAGGATTCTGGAGATGCTGGACCTAGCACTGGGGGCTCCTTGGGGAGGGGCACTTACGTTCTGCAGGGGGTCCTGGTACGAGGGTGGCAGCGACGAGAGCTGGGACTCCGAGTGGTACAGCGAGAAGCCTTTGCGCAGCGTCCGGAACTCTCCAGAGCCTGCCTGCTGCGAAGAGGAGAGAGGAGAGAGGTGTGAAGGGTCAGCCTAAAGGGGACAAGGACGTTCCAGCACCAGGACCCGGACAGAGACACTCCCGTCCCTCCTGGGGTCTGCTCCCAGGCAGGCGCCTCCTTGGAGGCCCCGGTGAGCACATCTACAAAGCTCCCTGCCTCTCCCCCGGGCCACCCCAGCTGGTTTACCTATCCTCATCACCCCACCATCACCTGCCATCTGACGGTCTGATGTCTGTATCCCACTGAGATACCACAGCACCCATGCTCCACAGCTCACCCTGGGTGTCTGAGCTTCACTCAGAGGCAAAAGTCCAAACCAAATTATTTTCCCGGCCAGGTCTCTGTGACAGTTACCGATTTGTCTCCAACCAATAGTACATTCTAAACCCAAACACGCTGAGTGTCTACGGCCAAGGCGCGCCCAATGTGACCTCCCCCTCCCCCTCCTGCGTTCTGCTGGGTAGGAACAACCCCACCTCGCAAAGGGGGGGCAGTGGTGGGGCAGTGGTACCATTCTCAAGCCCCAAAGAGAACCTTCCGAGGCAGGGGAGTTGTTGTTAGGTGCCACCGAGTCGGTTCCGACTCATAGCGACCCTGTGTACAACACCGAACAAAACGCTGCCCAGTCCTGCGCCCTCCTCACAATCGTTGCTCTGTTTGAGCCCACTGTTGCAGCCACTGTGTCGATTCGTCTCGTTGAGGGTCTTCCTCTTTTTCGCTGACCCTCTACTTTACCAAGCATGATGTCCTTCTCCAGGGACTGATCCCTCCTGATAACCAAAATATGTGAGACATAATCTCACCACCTTTGTTTCTAAGGAGCATTCTGGTTGTACTTCTTCCCTGTGGAATACCTGGGTTCAATTCCCAGCCAATGCTCCAATCTGTCAGTGGAGGCTGGCATGTTGCTATGATGATGAACAGGTTTCAGTGGAGCTTCCAGACTAAGACAGACTAGGAAGAAGGGCCTGGTGATCTACTTCCAAATATGAGCTAATGAAAACTGTATGAATCACAATGGCCTGATCCACAGGGATGGTGCAGGACCAGGCAGTGTTTTGTTCCATTGCGCGTGGAGTCGGTACGAGTCAGGGACTGACTCCAAGGCAGCTAACAATAACACCAAGCAGGCTGATGAGAGAAAAGTAAGAGGCTCAGTGGGAAGCCTCTTACCAGTGTTATCCAGCCATGCGGCTGGAGGGGCAGATGGAGGACTGGAAACACTGCTCCCTCTCACCAGCTCCTGGACCCGGATGTCCCTGTCCTGACCTACACACCATCCTGGTTATGTTGGGGCTGGAGTCTCCCTTCTTCCTCCAGCTTCTCTGGCCCTGGACCAGCGCACGTGCCGTTGTTGAAAGCACTGGTTCTGTTGTTGTCTCCTCCCCTCCCCCCAGATAACACCCAGGGAGGAGGTGTGTGTCTGTGGGGCTAGGGGAATTTTTTAATTAGCAGCACGAAATTCCCACCGTGCACGCCTGTGCTCATCTATAAATATTTGCATGTCAGAGAACTTTATTAGGAAGGCAGGCAGGGAAAATGCACAATCTCTCATTAACTGGCAATGTGGCTAATGACGCATCAAAATGAGTCACCGTTAGTGCACTTACATCCAAATTAAAAATCCTAATGTCTGCCTTCGGGTCCCCTCACAGTATAGGATCCCGAGATCTCACCCCCGATGGGAAGCAGGAGATGCAATGACCTTCGGGACTGGGCCAGTAGTGGGGATGGGGGTGGGTACTATGGAAGGTGCTGGAAACAAGTGCCCTTCAGGGAGGCACACTACTGCTCCCCAGAAAAGAATGCCTGCCCCAGCACCTCCCCAGCATGGTCCCTAGGACCCGGGGGCGGGAGACCCTTATACACAGAGCAGGCTCTGGACATGGAAGCTCCATGGGCTTCCTGGTTGGTGATGGGCATCGATGCACGTGGGAGGGTAGTACCTCCTTTGTGTCGCTTCATTTGTATCCTTTTTGTTATAATGAAACTATAATGAATCCCAAGTATAGCACTTTCCTGATTTCTGTGAATCGTTCTAGCAAATTATCAAACCGGAAGGAGTAGTGGGAGCCATCAGGTCACAAGTGAGGGTGGCTGGGGGCCCCTGAGCTTGTGGCTAGTATCCTGAGGGGTAGAAGGAACCTCCGAATTTGCAGCCAGCAGGTCAGATATGAGGAGATCCCTGGGAACTCCTGAGCTTATGGCTGGCATCCTGAGGGGGCAGTGGGAAAACCCTAAACTTGCAGCCAGCAACTCAGAAGTGAGGGGAACCCTGGGGGCCCCCAAGCTTGCAGCTGGAATCCCAAAGGGGTAGTGGGAAAACCCTAAATTTGTAGCCAGCCAGTCAGAAATGAGGGTGTTGTGGGGAGCCCCAAGCTTGCGGCTGGCATCTGAAGTCAGGCCGATCTGGCAGTCTGGAGGACTGACTGGGCCCTTTACCCCGTGACCTCTGACCTGGCTCTGGTGGTCAGGGACAGAGGAAGAGATGCTGCGGGGGCAGCGGTGTCAGAACAGAGAGGAATGGAACTGAAGTGACCCGGTCTGTCACACGCGGGGTCACCGCAGTCAAAACAGATTAGATGGCAACGGATCTACTAGTTACCCTTACAGACCGCCGCCCCGCCTCAGCTGAGATCTGCCAGAGTCCATGAAGGCGGCAGGGCCAAACCCCACTGCCTCATCTATCAAGTCCCCCAAACAGAGGTCAGACCCAGCCAAGGGGCCCGCCGAGGACCCCTGCTCACGAGCAAAAGAGATTTAGAACCTATTGTCCATGTGACTCTGGGAATCTGCACAGCGTCTCTGTGCCTCAGTTTCCTCTTCTGCAAAAGGAAAGGTAACCCCCTGACAGGGCTGTGGAGAGGATTACAAGCGTTCTGTAACCAGCACAGCCCTACAAGATACCGTTATGATTAGCATTGTTCCATGATTAGGAACACATGCAGGAAGGTTTCTTCTAATTGGGAGGACGAGAGAAACCTGGGGGGTTTCTTCCCAAGCCCCAGAGCAACAGGGACCCGTCTTCGGTGCCGGAACATGAAGTGAGGAGGTTGTGGGGGGCAGCCGGAGGGAAAAGGGCCCTCCTCACCCAGCTCTGCTGACGGCGGGGGACAGGAGGGCTTCTCGTCCTCGGCACCATGGACTCGCAGAGCTGTGGTGGGGCTGTCCTGCCCATTGCTGGATGTCTAACAGCATCCCTGGCTTCTGCCCACTAGATGCCAGTAGCATCCCGCACACACAAACAAGTCATAACACCAAAAAGTCCCCACACATGGCCCTGGGGAGCCAAACCGCCCCGCCCCCCCGCCAAGAGGCACCGCGGCGGGCAAGCACCAACGAGTCCTCTAAGGGCTGCAGGCCAGGCCCTTGGCTTCGGGTGGGGTGTGAGCCCGTCACCCTAAGCTGGACCAGCACCACTACAGGGCAGGCTGCAGGCCCAAGGCTTCACCCAGTGGGGTCAGGAGTTGGGGGAGGCCTCAAGACAGGCCTCCTGACTGTGAGGAGGGGTGGGCTTGGGGGAAGGTCTCCAGGTGAATGCCACAGCAGCCGAGTTTCCGTCTTCTGAGAGCACAGGCTGTGGCCGGGGCAAGGGGCGGCCTCCGTAAGCACCTGACCTCCCTGTGCCCCACAGTCCTCATCATAACACGGCGGTGCGCGCCTCCCAGGGCGTGTGTGTGTGAACGTGTTTAAACAGTGCCTGGCATGTGGCGTGTGCGTGGGAGCGTTGGTGGCTGTTGTTAAAGCAACGGCGTGTGCCTGGAAGCACACTCAACTGATGTTTCCAGAAAGAAAACTGCGAGACAGGACTTGGTGGAGACAAGCCCTGAGCTCCATCCTAGAATTGGCCTGGGCTCCAAGGCCTGCCGGCAGTGGTGAGATTTAAGCAAGAGGATGGCATGGTCTTACACCTGCTTTGTTTTGCAAAGAGCACCCTGGCTCGGGCGCGGATGGAGGGCCGGTGTGAGCAGTGGAGAGGCTGGAGACCCATGGGGAGCATGCTGCAGTCCGGGGATTTGGGGGAGGGCACTCTCAGTACCCAGAGAAGGGACAGAGGTGAGGCCATCGGGAGGCCTGGACCGGGCAGGAGCAGCAGCCCACGTCAGCTCCCCAGTGTCCCGGGGCTGGCCATGTGCAGATGCTGAGGGGCCCTGGCCCAGCAGGGGTCACCCCACGCAGTAACTGAGGACTGTGTGATTCATGTAAGACCCCCACCCGAAGCCCAGCTGGCTCAGCAGCTCCAGGGACCTCACGGAAGAACCTACCCTCCCCCAGCCCAGGAGCCTGGGGCAGGTGGGCTGGGGTTCCATCACCTCCAGGGTCCTTCCTCCCACCACAGCCATGTTCACTGACCTGCAACACGGCGTTACGGCTAGCCCTGTGGACCACACGAGGTGGGGGTCAGGCAAGGGGGAGGGAGGGAGGGATTCTGGGGAGCCCAAGTGGGAGGGGTCATTTCCTTGAGCATCCAGCCTTTATTCTGCAAGGCTGCAAGTTCACACCAGCTCAGGGGACAGGTCCTAGGAAGAATGGATGCCCCCGGGTGGTGGTCATCTCCCGTGGGGATGGACAGGCGCTGGGGAACAGGAGAGAGACCGAGCAGAAGAGCACCGCACAGCACTCAGAACAGTCCCCCACTGCACACGGGCACACAGCAGACAGCGTTACCTGCAGCCAGCTTCTGGGGCGGCCGTAGGGGCGGGGCAGCTAGAACGAAGAGAAGAGTGTCACCTGCAAAGGCTAACCGTGACCGTCACCTTCTGCCCAGCCCCTTCTCTGGACACCTGTAAGCCCGAAGCCCCCAGACCTCGGCTGGGCCAGGACCAGGGTGAGGGGTCCTCAAGGCTACTCCCAGGACCCCGCGTGTTTAGAACTCCAGATCCAGCCAGGACAAAGAGGCTGCTATGCACTGGGGTGCTGGGCCCACTCAGGACCCATCCCCAGTCACAGTGGGATCCTCACTGCCCCGCCAGGGAAAACAGCCTTTCGAGG